AGCAGATAAAACTTTACAAGCGAAATAGATAGATTTTAAGAGAGAGCGAAAGAGAGAGAAAGAAAAAGAGCTTCTTGTTTCTTCAGTTGGCAAAAATACGAAGGGGAAGTTCGCTTAAGATGGCGTTTATCATTCATTCTGCCTCCGCGTTCCTTCATTTATACAGTTCACCCACTTTCCGCCAGCCTCCTCGAAGTGTCTATAATCGGATGAACTGATTAATGGCGGGTACACGCAGGATTTTTACCGTTTCGGAGCAGCGATGGAGAAAAAAATTGTAAGAATACAAATGACTTGTGAGCGAAGAAGCTTAAAATCGGGGATGGCATTCATCTCTTTCGCTCTAACGCGATATCTAGGTCTTGATAATGATGTACGAAAATATTATTATAATATTGTGTAATGTATTGATATATTGTTAGATATTTTAGATTAATTTTAAAAATTAATTTTGAAATAAAATAGGTTTATATGATTATATGTTTTATTTAGTAACTTTATAGTCAAAGTTGAGTTGCCGATTGATCTAAATTTTCTCTCTAAATCTAAATCAGTAGATAATCACTGATATCCAAGTATGCCACTGGTAATCAGTGAATGAAATGTGAGATGCTTAACCTAGTTAATCTTTATTATATGATCTAACTAATCTTATTTTAGTGCATAAATTCAATGAATATGGAAGATTGAAACATGCAAATATTAGAATTTTAGTTATATAATGCTCAAACATTCTTCCTTTTTTTAGTTGAACTTTATTGATTATCCAGTGCCAAGTATACCACTGAGTAATTAGTGACTATCCACTGATTCAGATTTAGAGAATTTAAAAGAAATCTTTAAGATTCCACCATTGTGGTAATTTTTTATTTGTATTATTTCTATAATTAATATAAACTTTTGCGAATTTGAGCTGATGCGATTGTGCAAAAATGTAAAGATTAATTCTCTAGAGCAAAATAAATATCTATGATGGACTATAATGCATGGAATGACTGGAAAATAAAGAGATCGTCATAAAATTGTATAATCTTGCTTGAGGAATTTGAGAATATGATCTTGTTACGAGCGAAGGATTCTAAGCGGAAAGAAAAAGAAAGGATAGCTGGGAGGTGGCGGCGCTCATTCGCAAGACCGAGGTCGAGTTGCGGCGTGCACGAAAATCGCTTGGGATTCGCGCTGTTTTATGGGATGTTGGAACGCTCGTTTCGCATTGTTTGTTCGCATAATAATTTACGTGCCGGGTTGCTTGTAGGATGACTGCCGGCACGAGGGCTGGATGGCTGGTTGGCTGGCTGACGGCACGAATAAGAAATGCTCTATATACATCGCGTCGTGTGAAATAGGAGTAGAGAAGATCAGAAATGGGGGGAGGAAGGGAGGGCAAACACGCCGAGCGGAATGATGCTACAAGGGCGAGGGCGAAGAGGAGAACGTACATAAAAAATACGAGCGTTAACGCGGATCAGAGCAGTTTCAAGCCGAGGTGTAAAGGGTTCAGTATATCCGGTTGCCTTGCAGGGATCTTTAAGTGTAATCGTATAAGAGATTTTCATATTGATTATAGCTATAGTGTAGGATTCATGTAGATTTAATAGATGTTGGTATGAATTGTCTGGGAAATGGCGACGGAAGGACGTTCTGCATTCAGACTTGTGAAACGGCTTGAAACGTGGAGACTACATGAAATCCAGGAAAAATAAAGCAATTTTATTTTTGCCTCATTTGTGAGACGAAAATCTCTATTCTCTCGCATGAGATTGTTTCCATTATCATTATTACGTTCGCTTCTTTTTTTCTTTATCTATATCCTTAGCTTTGCGGATAGTTTTATTAATGGAGATTGGAATATAGTGAGACAATCTAAAAATTAATCCCGATTTAAAATATCGTACAATATTATATTAAAATGATATATAATTAAAATATATAATTAAGTAGTCGAGACAAATATTATAAGGACTTCATGATTTAATTTAAATTTATCATTTTAATACGAAAAGAACAATTTTGTTAAAGTGTATAAAAATTTAACTAAATACAGATCTGAAAATAATTTTGTTGGATCAAAATAATTAGAACATTTAACTCTCAACTATAGCAACTGGTCATTTAGATCGGAAATGAGATTTTTAGATGATTATATACGATCGATTATATGATTAGCATTGTGAGGTAAATTGCAAATAAATAAAAAATCTTTAAACCTTCGCTTCTCAATCGCCGTAAGGCGAAAATTCACTTGCATTCTGTATTTTGAACAGGATACTTTAGAAAGTGTTTTAGGTAGCTGGGGATTAAGTGTTAATGATAATACTGCAACAAGTTCTAATGTTCTAACAATCAATATGCATTTTATATAATTATTTTGATGTTCCAAGCAAAATTATTTTCAGATTTATATAGCTAAATGTTTAGATATTTCAATAAAATCATTCTTTCTATTTATTAATGAATTTCTAACTTCTTTTAAATTCTTTTATATGACGAAAATGTCTTAAAATATATATAATAAATTATTAAAAATCAAAACAGAAAAAAGATTAAATCTAATTCTAGATTTAATTTTAAATATAAGGAAATATCTTCTAAATCACTTCGAACTTAGGGATTCGAATTTGTGATGTATACACGTCTGCACATTTCAGAGGAACTTCGGAGTAACGAAGTGGAATCTTAAGACGTTCAACATAGCTGGAAGGTTCCTCGCATTGTGCGCCAGTCGGACGGAAGGAAGATTTCACGACCTTGCAGCTTCATGCGTCCTTTTAACATCGGATAGGCACTTGAGCTTTCATGACCTTGCGCGTCCGCATTGTCCGGTCTTTCAAGACGTGGCGTCTTTGGCGCAATTAATTGGAGCGGTTCGTGTAAGGGTGGGTGCGCTAGGACGTTAAGTAGAAGTCACGAAACGGCTGAATCACCTCCTGCGAGAAACTTGAAGCGGCTCCCGTCCGCGCGCCAAGACGAAGACAATGACGCGGAAAATAGGGTCTTTGTATGACGTTCTCAAAGGAGATTCACGTCGCCGTGTCGAAGCAACGCGGAATATTAATCAAGATTATGAAGTTTGAGAGATTGTGATTAAAAAAAAAAAATTATCTAACATCCGTTTTCCAAGCTAGCTATTCGTTTCCTTGCCGTTACGCAGAATCGAACGTATTCAGTATCGAGTGGATCGATATGGTAATCGAAGGTTAAACGTTTATCACACGGTACAGTCGATGATGGCTGGCGGCTCTTCGATGAATTCGGAGATCAAAGCGATATCAGCTCGCTTATCCCGCGGGAGATCGTGTTACTCGTCTCGTATTCGCTTTCGTGTACGAAATCAAGCTCGCGTGAATCCGCGTATTCTCGTTAGAAGAATTGGCGCTGGGACGGTCTTGTGTGTTATCCCTGTAATTTCCATATAGCGTGTGTGCTGTCTGGGATATACATACACCCTTGTGGAGAGTAATGCATTCCATTTGTGTATCGTTACAGCGTGCGGTTGGCTCGAATATTTCTTCGTTCATTGATGCTCAGAAACGAGCACACAGAGAGAAATGTACACTCCGGGACGAGAGACATACAGGCGCGTGCCGTGCAACTTTGTCTTGAATAAAAGATCGTTTTAAGAATCAGCGCGTAAAGTCGCGCAGAGCCGTACCGAGCTGCACAGAGACAGACGGGCGGGCAGGATCGAAACCGCGGCAGCAAAAATCGCGTATCGGATGCTGCTTAATTCATGGCAACTCTCGGGATCCCGCGGGATGGATGGGCAAAAAGAGAGCAGAGAGTGATAAAGTACGTTTCGAGGTATACGTACTCTCCTGTCTCCCTGCGGCTTTAACGTACGTGTACGTTTCGTGCGCGTGTGTGCGCGCCTCTTTCTCTCTTCTTTCGACCGATTTTTTGCCGACTACCTTGCATTTAGTTCGCGATATTTCGCCGAATACTGGAGAAAGATCTCGAGGATCGAGAAGCACTTGGGTGAGCATGTTGGACGAATTAAAGTTTAAAAGGCTGCCATCGTCGCGACCTATGGATCCGAGAAGAAGCCGGCTTGAAAGTTTTAGCTTGGCTTTGTCACCGCTTAACCCTGGATGAGTAATGCGGGGCATAATGGTGCTCGCGATAAGCAACTCATTTTAGAACCTTCCGTGACGCTGAATCGACAACATTAATCTTCCATCACTATTCCATCATTTCGTCAAGGATCTCTCGTCGCGCGGTAGAGGAACAGTTCTCTGATAAAACGTTGAATCTTTATTTTAACCATATTTTTATCGACGTTATCGGTAAATTTGTTAGCACTGTCAATCATTGAGAAATAATTGTTCCATTTGCATTTACGGTGAAATATGAATAACAATTTTGTCAAAGCGAGGATAATCGATTGAATTGAATTTTTACGATAAACGGTACGTGTCACATTTGAAATAACTTCGTTTATATCTTTGAGAATTCTTTCCGATTGTCATAAATATCGAACGTCACGCTTTGAAAGCTGCTCTCGTTCTCGTGGCAAGCAATATCGAAGTGAGTAAATCGTTTGAAAAAATTGAGAAAAATATTGTCTCTATGATTAGATAGGATACCGCAAACGAATTTAGAGTCTATAATTTCGCTACAAATAGCATCGACAAACATTATCGATAAACTAGTAAAATATGTTTAATACATGAATATCAAGCAAAAATGACGAAATCAAAATTGAAGTCAGCACTAAGCGAGAAAAAGAAATAAAATGTCTCGTTTCAAAAGATGAATGGAGACAGTATACTATCGAATTAAAATTTTATTTTTAAAGTTTTAGGAGACTGCATTACGTATTTTTCAATTTGTGATTTAATATTTTCGTCAAGAAAAATTTGACGTAGAGTCGAAAAAGAATTTATAACTGAAACTATTACGTAGACGATGAAGTCTGTATTTTATAGCCTTATCGTGTCTTCTAAGCGATACTATTTTTCTAGACGGGCGCGCGTTGTGAGGAATAACGATGGAGCACTCACCGCATGCGCCCTTGTGCTTCATCCTGATATTCTTTCTGTTTTGGCAACTGGCCTGCCGCAGGTGACAATGGTTCGTGTAGGTCACGTCGTCGGAGCCGCAGACGGGATCGGAAGTCAAAGGACAATCCGTAGAGCACTGACACAGACCTTTGCCGTTTTCGGAAACGATGCACGTCGCGCCCCAGGCGCAGTAGATCTTCTCGCAGGGTTCTGAAATGAGGAAGAAAGCACGTTCTTTTAATTTTCAACTCGCCGAGGGTATGTCCAACGTTTCAAAGAGTTTCAAGCCAGCTCAATCGATGACCAATTGTTCTCGAACTCTGTATTACGCTAATAATTTATTTATAACTATTATTCCGTTACTGTCAGTGAATTGTTGCAGACTCTGACTGCTCGCTGATAATACATGTTTGAGAACAATTGTTTTAGATTAATTTCCAGATAGAGAATTTCCAAGATAGTTCATAGAGAGTTTCTCGGTTAAAATGTAGTGTGCTAGATCAGTTAAGCGGAAATTTAGTTCACAGTTTAATTGTTAATGTATTTAGGCTGAAAATTAATAAATGATAGTAGATAATTGGCAGATATTTTGTAAGTAAAATATCCTATATTATTTTACCTTCTTCTATATATACGGCATTCCGCTTATAATCAATATGTTTTGATATAAATATTAAATCTTATACAACACAAATTATTTCAGTAATATTATAATAATATTGCAATGTTTCAGCAATATTACAGAAATATTACAAATGTTGCAGTAATACTGCTGCAAGCTTTTATGCTGTATGGGATTTTTAATATGATAAAATTTTGAAGTGATGTATTTGTTACAAATTACGATGCGACGCCTAAAAAAAGCCAATCTAATTCCTTCGTCATATTCTCTGCACAAAAGTCTCTGCACAAAAGATGAAGATAAATGATATTGTTATGGTAATCAGTCTACTTTTCATTCCCGGTTAAAAATGATTCGCGCCCTTAATTCCTCAGAGTTGTGCCATTTAATGGACTTCCCGAAGTGTTTCGCGGCTCAAAGTTAACAATACACAACAACTTTCGTACAATAGTCGCCTTTGAATAAATTTCAAGCGATAGTTGATATTGTTACTTCATATTGTCCCGCGTCATTATTAATTCCAGTTAAATACCGACCTCTTTCTGTCATCCGAGCTGTGAGGAAAGTGCAAAAACCGAGAACAATTGTCAAATTCGTTTGTAAGAAACGATCATAAGCGAGAGGGATAAAATCCCAGCTGATGAAGAGTTTTATGATTCGACGGTTTTTGTTTGTTATCGCGATTGCTTCGCGTGTATATAGAACTGCATGTCTGTTACTCGTACGAGTTCCAAGCGTTGTGTAGTCAGTTTTACCCTAACAGCAAAAGTTCGCATTTTGTCTCCCAGCAGAGTCGTCACGAACCAACCGTCCAATGGGAAAACGCCAATTACGGCGGAATTACTCGGCAAAAATAATTAGCAGCCGCAGGTCTCGAGAGAATGAATAAATTCCTCCGTTTCCTCGTTTCCTCTTTTCGCATCTTGAATCCCGAACAACAAATCATTCTAGTAATAATGTAGCAACATTGCAACATTTCAGCTATGTTGCAGTAACATTGTAAACGCAGTAGCAATATCACCGTAAACTTTTGCACTGTTAAATATCAAAGGAGTATTGGAAAATAGAAAAAAATAACAAAATGCTAACCCAATCTCTTGAGTTAGCATTTTGTTACCTTTTTCTATGTATGTCAAAATGTCAATCAATTTCTGTGATTAGTTTCAAAGTGAACATCATCCATATTAATGTTTGCATTTAGTAAATAATAAACTAAATTTGAGTCTCTTAAATATAATATATATTTTTTTTAGTTAAACTGTTTAACTCCACTGTTTTAGTTAAATTAACGATATATTGGATAGGAGGCGATTTACTTTTTAAATTTTTTTGAGTGAATCTCATTCCAAAGAATTTATAGAATATGGAAATGATAAAAAAGCCAAATTGGGTATAATTTGATATTATAAATTTAACAGTACGGGAAAGGTTTTCGTTCGCCATAATTTTTTGCTTTGTTTCTCTTCGACCATCAATATACATATAATATACATATAATGGCATTCAATAATTTCCTTTAAGTATCAGAAAAGATATATGCCGAAGGAAAAAGCGCGGATATTTATATTAAATTCGGTTTAGTTCATCGTCCAGGCTCGTTTGGAATCTTATCTTTCTTTTTCAGCCGCGTCCTTGTCCGGCGTCTCTTCGACTCGTGTAAGCGCAATCAATTTCACCGGAAAAGTTCGCTCGGAGAAGATGGACCCGCACGGAGAAATCCCGACGGATAATCCGTGCGGTGCGGTCATTAATATAGAGGACGAGTTGATCCCCAACGAAAAAATCGTCGAACTCACCGAGCGCGCCATCCGGTTCGATAGTTCCCTTTGCGATGGCCGCCCAGAACGGGAAGAAGACGGCTTTCTTCCGTGCTGTACTTTTCCATTTTTCCGCCTTCCCACGTGAAACGGTCGCCGAACGACATCGTCTATGTGCCACGACCGAAAGAAAGCGATAAAGAGCCGTTTTTCTCGACAGCTCGACCCGATTTTTCTTGTCACTGCTGCACCGTTTAAGATGGACGTGGCTGCATGAACCGTTCCTGCTTTTGCACGAACCTAACCACTGACGATCCGCGAATTTCCTCGCAGGAAATCGTCTCTCATTAGAGTTCCTTTTTCTATTTGTGCATTCCGTCCAAGAGAACGTCCTTCGAGACGAAAAGTATTTGAACGTCCGAGTTGTAACATATTCTACTCATTTTCTTTTCGACTAAAGCTTTGAATACTCCATTCATTTTAATAAGAATTCTATGTAGAATTAAGATCCATAATATAAACTGTGATGATTAATTGTGCAAAATATTTAAACATAATTAACAATAACAAAGTTCTAATTCCAGATTACAGTTAAACAAAACGTAAAAGATGTTAAAAGAAGATGTGTGTAATCGTGGGCGATGTATATTGTATTATGAAACTGTGAAGTTATAGCTCGACTATTTATTACAGATGATATTTATCTCAATTAACTTCAAAGATTACCAAAATAACTATTTTGAGATAAACATGAGTCGAATATTATTCTTCATCAAATAATGCCGTCTCAAAAATACTGAGAACGGAGCAATTAAATTTTTAACTGTGAAAAATTGAGTAGAACATCAAGAGTTTAGACCGGCAATCCGGTAATTGTATCCATCTTCTTTTACATTAAACTTATTTATTAATATTTGAATTTATTAATTAGTATTAAATATAAAATTTATTTGGTTCATACAATGTATTTGAAAAATTGCATTTTATATATTTAATAAAATTGTATTGTTAAACTTTTTATAAGAGCTTTTTTACAGTTTGCTAATGATTGTTACATTAACAAATACTTTCTGCTTTCTCTTAGCATTTTGTGAAAATATACAATAAAATGTTAATGTATTAATACATTTTATTTATAAAATGAATCGATAACGATTCACGACGTTATCGTAGAAAAATAGCAAAGTTTTGTTTTCTCTACAGTTCCACAGAGAACGAATCCACAGAGTCAGTTTTTAATGGATACATCGCGGAGCGGAATTTTCAACTTTACTGACTTCGCATTTTTACAACTGCTTGTTACGAACGGACTGGAGCGCGTTTTGCAGTCGTGTAACACGACTGACTCTTGATGCATTTCGAACGAAATTATATCCGGCCCGATGATGCCGCCGCTTCCGTCGACTATTGTTTACAGCGAACCATGCCGTTCACCGCGTAGCTTTGGAGTGATTTTTGGCGGTCGGCGACAACGCCATTTATACGATCTCTCGCTCCGAGGGTTGGAAGCGTTATAAACAAAACCGAGAGAACGCGGGTCCGGATATGACACAGGACACGGTTATTTTCCCGCAATGTGGAAAATGTGACGGGTTTGCTATCCGCGACTTGGATGGGTTAGCTTCGCACGAATTTTCAATAAAAATATCTTCCGGTCCGTTTGCATCGCGAATTCCGAATTTCATGAATTTTCGAAAATTTCTAGCGCGGAATGGCGTGATTGAATTTTCGCATGCATTACGAAGATTTCACAGCTACATTTAAGAAAAGGAGTTTATTTAAATAAAATTTGATTAGAGGATACAAATATGACAAATAGTTTTATTAGTTTTAATTAGTATTCATGATTATTTTAGTATTTGCTTTGCCAAACATTTATAATAATTTAATCCGTTTCTTAATGATTTATACGTATTTTATCTCAGATGTACAAATAAATCAAATATTAAAAATTTAAACGCCTATATATTGTGGATATATATTTACTACACAGCAAGATATTTTTATAGCAAAATATTGAAGTTTGAATATTTCATGAGCAACAATACCATTTTGCAAATCAATTTTACCTACGTATATAAAAACATTGCGGATATCTCTATTTCTTCTTTTTTATACATGTCAATAAGATCTAATATCCTGCCGACTAATAGATTGGCATGTTTGTTCGTGTTCAACGGCTTGTATTGAAGCGGAATTTTCCACCAAATTTATTCACAACGAGGAACAATCAGCGATCAATATTTGTTTTACTGTGCTCAACTAATTATTTTCAGAGAATGCCGTTTACGGCAATAGAGAAAATTTAAATGCAAAATAAATATAAATAAACTATACAAAGTTTGAAGTTGATTTTTATTGTATTTTAAAACAATGATTTAATTTAATGTTTGATATGAAATATTAAAGAATCATCATTGATCACTAAATTTCTCTTTTTCTTTCTCTCTCACATATAATATCTTTTTAATAAAATAAAAAATATTATTATTTTTGTAAATTTTGTACGTTATTTTTTCCTTTTTGTATATTTTTTCAAATAAAATCAGAGATATTATTACCATTATTTTTGTAAACTTTATATATTATTTATATATTGTATTCTTTTTTGTATATTTTTTTTGTTTCACATCTTTTGCTTGCTTATTTTTTCTTAAAGGAGAGCTGCATTAAATGCTTTTATTTCTCTTTTTCTCTCTCTTTCTCTCTCTTTCTCTCTTTCATGCATAATATTACTTTTCGAGTAAAATGAGAGATACAAAAAATCATATGAGGATGTAAATAACTTATGTATCTGTCTAAAAAAAAAAGAAAAATATAAAAAATTTAAG